ATGTCAGTGTGCTATCAACATTATTCTCACACTAAATCCAAAACACAGCACTGTACTGACTACTAAGCAGAAAATTAACTCTATCCCAGCCAAAACCAGGACAAGAGGGAAGAAAATCTTTTTCTGAAACAATCTAAACAGCCCTTGGTGCAGGGCTGAAAAGAAGTGAAAAGACATCTGAAGTTGCTTCTGACTTGGATGAGCGAAGAGACTCAGCAGACTTAAATAGGTACATGCTATTTTGTGACTTGTTGCTCAGCTTTCTGCGAGTGACTGGAAAAGACATGTCTGCTTCTTTTTGAAGGAAGGAGGTGTCTAAATTGAGCTCATGACTAAACCGTCCAAGAATCAGACAGCAGTGATGCCAGCTTCGTAGCTCTGCCTTTTTTGCGCCCAGGCTAAGTTCTGCCCTCAGCTTTGTTGCAGTTCCTGGTTTCTGAAATGTACACAGTCTTCTGAGCATAAGTGGTGTTTTGTGCCTAGTCCATTTTTAAACAGCTAGCACTTAAATTTTTGGTCTTACTGGCTTTGTTGATTTTTACCAACATTATACAAGGGAAAATGTAGCTTCCAAATATAGAGAGACCGGTGGAAGGGATAGCTCAAGTTTGCTGATACTGAAATGCATAGTTAGGCTTATGTTACCTACTGCAGAAGTAAGTTGTGGATTGAATCTTAACTTGGGCAAGCAGAAGCTCCCTGTTTCTCTCCTAATTCCTAATCATCTCATTCAGGAGATCTAAGACACTAGTTAATCCACCTTGTCTGGAAGGTGAGGCAGTGATTTAGTGTTAAGGAGCAGTTTATAAATTGTGATGGAAATGACTGAGCTCTTTGGAACTCTTAACTTTTTATCTCCACAGAAATCAAGATGACTACCAGCTAGTTCGAAAATTAGGCCGAGGCAAATACAGTGAAGTATTTGAAGCCATCAACATTACAAATAATGAAAAAGTAGTTGTTAAAATTCTCAAGGTGAGCTGGGGATTGGGCAAAAGATAAAATCTGTGTTGAGGTGGTCAGAAGGCCAGAAAGTGCAAGATTTGGTCTAAAGTGTTTGATGTTCTAAAACTGAAATCCTTAAAGCCTGGCTTTGGAGTGTCATTCAGTGAAATAGGCCATTTGAGTAATTTTGAGCCTCCTAATAGAAGCCCTACGTTTGGTTATTAAGTCAAATCTCTGCCAGTAAGGAATTAGCCTCTATCTTAAAGAAGTCCTGATGTGCAGAACATTTTTACTTGGAGCTAAGCTTCAGTAGCTGACTAGAAAATTCTCACCTTCTCTAACTACCAGTGCCTTGGCATGCTGTCGTGTGCAGAGAGGCCTATGAGCTAATGGGATCATTGTCCTTTAAAGCCACTGATTAGATTTAGGGACTGCTAACCTTAAAATTTTCATTTCTGCTCTGCATGTTCCATTGCACATGTAATATCCTTCCAGATTGAGTAAGGGTCTCCTGGATGCTGGTTATTCCACGACCTTGATTGGTGAATTACCTTCATTTAGTGGCCCTTGAATAGCTCATGGACTCCTCATAGTTACACGTTTACCACATCCCAGTTAAGAAGTTTTGGACTATCAGATCATGTTCAGACAGCTTTTAAACAAATATGCTGTCTTCCTAACCCTCATTCACATGAAACTAATGCTTGTAGCTGTCAGGGTTGTATGGTTAGAGAGGAGACTGCAGATATTTGGACCCTTACTGGAGTGATGCGACATCAGGTAACAACAACATCTAGCTGTTTGAACTTGACTTGCAAAGGCTATGATGTATTTTGCTGACTTGCAGTCACCTACCTTTGTCATCTGGATATTGAGCTGTCTATTGGAGTGCTTTGTCTTACACTTTGGGTTTTTATTCTTCAGCCTGTTAAAAAGAAGAAAATCAAGCGTGAAATCAAGATCTTAGAGAACTTGCGAGGTGGTCCCAATATAATCACTCTTGCAGATATAGTAAAAGATCCTGTGGTGAGTATGGAAGGAACTTAAAGGCTACACTGGGGTTATGGGTGAGGTTGCTGTGTTTGACTTCAGCTCTGATCTGGCTTTTTGTTTTCCCCTGCTCTTAAATCCTGCTTTTGAATTGCCTAATCAGATCGGCTTTTAATCTGATTAACTTCTTTTGGAGAACCCTTCCCCCACAGGTCCTTCAGCCCCTCAGTCTGTAAGGGTGAGATACCAGTGAACTGAGACAAGTTAATTCATTCTACAAACAGTGGTGCCAGGGGTTGCAGGCTTTGGCTGTCCTTTCTCTCTCTGGGGGGAACTCATAAGTATGTCTGAGGCCGAGGGGCTTCTAGCAGTTTTAGGAGTAAAAATGATTTAATTCATTATCCAAAATGAAAACATATTATCTCAACTTAACATGGCTGAACACTTTTCTCTCTGTTTTAGTCTCGGACACCCGCTTTGGTTTTTGAACACGTAAACAACACAGACTTTAAGGTACAGTGTGGGATGTGAACTTCTAATATTTTCTGTTTGAAAGCCACTCGTAATGTTTTTCTGGGGAAAGGCAAGTATGTAGGGGACAGGCAGGTTATCTAATCATTTCCTTCCAACATAGTAACTGTCTTTAAAGGTAAATACACTTGGGACAGAAGTTTGTAATTGGTCCTTTAGTACCGTTTTGCCGCAGAAGTTACGAGATGAGAATCCAGATTCCAAGTGGTATTCTAACCTTCAGAGCAAATTAATCTGTTATCTTGTGGACCATCAGTGCCTGTCTTTTTGAAACATTTTGCTTTTGTGTTCAGTGTGTAACTATTTATTTAAACCACTTTAAATGAGGACAGCTGTTTCTGTGGCTTTCCATACTTCTGGCAAAAGGGATTTAAATGTTTCTTTGACCCCTTCCCTACTGACCTGCCTCAGGAGAAGAATGGCTGTGTAATGCCATCTGGAATAGCTGCTTGAAGCTGCAGAGCACCCTCAGTCTTTTTGAGACCCAGTCTGCAGGCATGATGCATCGTGCTGGTGGTGGGCAAGTGCAAGCTGAGGGAGTTAGGGAGAGGAACCAGCGTGTTCTGTCTGAGCGGAGCTGGAAGCAAACCATGTATGTGATTTGTAAGGGGAGAGGAGCAGACTGATCTGTCAGGTGTGGGATCAGAGTAACTTGGAGAAACTTCTACTGCTCCTTCAAATGGGTTTGGAGAACGACAGCAGCAGAGAACAGGATGGGGTTGTTCTGGTTTGGCAGGGATTTGATATTTTTCTTCGGTGTTGAACCCTGATACGATATTTTTGTGTCCCACAGCAATTATACCAGACATTAACAGATTATGATATTCGATTCTACATGTATGAGATTTTGAAGGTAAGTTGGTGTTTTGCTGTTTTGTCAGTTTATTTCTAGGATTTGTACTCAGCTAATCCTATAGAGATAGTTATCATGTCACTAATGGCAGGGAAAGCAAGAGAAAACCTGTGGAAGAATTGGGCAGAAAAATATAATCAAGTCGGTATCAATTATTCAGCCCTGTTTCTGCAAGAAATTCTAGTCTTTTCTTCTTTGAGGCTAGCAGAGCCTTTGGGGACACTAAGATAACTTAAGATCCTAGATCAAAAGTACATGTAGCCTCTGAAAACAGAAAATTGTAAGCTGTTACTGACTGATTTTGTGCTGTAATGTAATGTGAGTCAAATGTATTTGCCCATTCTTCTAAGGAGAAAATATTTATTTCAGGAGTCTGGAGAAGGGGAGGTTTGTTTGATCAGTAGTGCCTAGTAACTATGCTCTTAGGGACTCTGAAATTCTGTTTTTATGAGGAAACACATGAGGTGAAGTCAAAACACTTCTGTTGCTGGGACCTGCCTTTGAGAGGGGGCTCTAGAAGCATTTTCTGTGGTCCACAAGTCTAGTCCAGGATATAACACCAGACAGTCCTGCCATCTAGTTAGACTTGGTATATGTGGAAATACTTCTGAATAAGATTGAACTTGAAAGGCTCTTGTGACTGCAGCATCAGTTTCTTTGTATGTCACCTACAGGCTTTAGATTACTGCCATAGCATGGGAATCATGCACAGAGATGTCAAACCTCACAACGTCATGATTGACCACGAACACAGAAAGGTAACGTGGGGTGGCTGGAGGGCAGGGAGAGGTCCTGCTTTTCTCTTGGCAAACTAGGATCCCTTTTGGGTACTCCTGTGTAGTGGTACTAGCAGACATCTTCGAGGCAGACTGCACTTCCATCATGTCGAGAAATGTGAAATGAAATTCTGTATGCTGCTTTTCTTAAGTTTTTATGAGTTACATGTAACCTATAAACAGGGTTGGTAAGGAAAGGTATTTTATTTAGACTGGTTGGTGATATGGGTTTGGGGAGGATATCTAAACAGATACACTGATCAAATTAACTTCAAATTAACTGAAAATAGAAGACGTGTAAATGAAGCTTCAAACTAAGCTCACCTGTAGTGTCTTTCAACCAGTGGAGAGCTGGAGCATCCCTTGAGCCTTTTTTCTTTTTCTACCATTTCTAGCTTAGACTAATAGACTGGGGTTTGGCTGAATTCTATCACCCTGGCCAAGAGTACAATGTCAGAGTGGCTTCCAGATATTTCAAAGGACCTGAACTCCTTGTAGATTATCAGGTAAGAATCACCAGGATTTATCACTGACTGACATGTGAAAATTCTGTGCCATTTCAACGTAGCGAACCAGAAATTCGAATATCTAGAGACTGAAGCTAAAGACAGTCCATTCTAAAATGTATTGCAGAAAGCAGTGGCTATAAAGCTACTGAATTAAAGAAACTAAGGAGTAGTTTCAGGACGTGAGGAAGAGCTGCAGAACTGTCATCATGGATCTTGGAATACAAATGTGAATATTTTTTTTAGCAAGGCTGCGTTTGCAGTAAGGTACACGAATGAAACAAAGCCCTTGTGAGAACAGCTAGTACTGCGTGAACTTCTAAATTAAGCTATAAAAACATCCCAATATCTGATGGCAGTTTGCAGTATGGAAATGCTGTAGGCTGGAAATTGCAGTGTTACTGGTGACTTTCAGATCATGCTGGTTCTGAATGGAGGCACTTCCTCACCTGCCCACGTACCTTGTAGAGTCCACTCCTTTTGTTGCTTGTTGTGACGTTTCTCTTCTCAACTCATGTTTCTCAATGATTTGTAACATTGAAGTCTGCAGTGGAAACAGAAAGAGGCACTGGTCTTTAGTATCTTTATGGACAAGCATGTAAATAGGATACCTGCTGTTCTGCTAATTGCTGTATTGCAGTTTGAGTAACTGGAACGCTGAGCTGAACGGTGATCTAGTGATGAAGATACATGGAGATATTTCAGTCTGTTCCCAGCGTAATGTGGCCGCATTTGTATCACTGGAGGGAGGGGGAACCCTGTCAGTATTGGGAGTCTGTTCTGCTTAATTCATTAGAAATTGAATTGTCCTTCTGGTTTTGTACAGATGTACGATTACAGTCTGGATATGTGGAGCTTGGGTTGCATGTTGGCTAGTATGATATTCCGAAAGGAGCCATTTTTCCATGGCCATGACAACTATGATCAGGTGAGAGCTGGTCATGTACAATCTCTGTTCTCTTAGCACAGTGAAGGTTTCTTGCTTACACTTCTGTTGAGGGATCCAAAGAAGAATTTAAGCATTTCTCCAGTAGCTTCTTTTCTCAGTTTGAAGCCACATTCCTTTTCTCAAGTGTGCAAGATTATCTAACCAATTAAATAGAAATCGATTTATAGTGCTTTGTACTTGTGAGCTTCTCAGTAGGTATCTGGAAAAAGCACTAACAAATATTAAGGCTGTTGTGTTCTGGTATGTCGATTGACTATTCCTGAGGTTATGTTATGTGGAAAGCCCCTGCCGCTATCCACCTTCCTTCCCCTCTGTATAGAAACTGTGAATTTGGTACAGTTTTATATAGATTCTGAAATCTTTGATGTGTTGCCTTTAGGCCAGAATTTTTAGACTTTAACACGTGCTGTGCATCTGACTAGCATGCAAACATTCAAGAACAGTGACCTTCTGTTCTCAAACCTTCGTTCTAGAGCCCTCTGGGGTGGTGCTTCACCCTTTCAGTACAAGTTACAGAGTTTCTGCTTTTTTGACCAGTTATTCTTGCCTTGTCCCCCCCGCCCCATTTGTTTTGAGTATTTTCTTGCTACAAAGGGAGTTAGTGTTGCAGGGTCTCAAGTTTTAGTGATGTTGGGTATGCAGCTCCCTCCTGTGAGCGGAGGGATGTTCCTGATGCCTGTGATTGTACGTGGCCAGGGAAGTCAGAGCCTTGGGCTGACACTGTGCCTGCTGGTTCAGACCACTGAGATCAAGTTCAAGCTCCCAAGGGAATGTACTGCTCTATCCTCACGTGGGCTCTGCCATTATGATACCCTCACAGTAGTGACTTATTTTTCTGTTTGTTCCCAGCTGGTGAGGATAGCCAAGGTGCTGGGAACAGAAGATCTGTATGACTACATTGACAAATACAACATTGAACTGGATCCACGTTTCAATGACATCTTGGGCAGGTGAGCCAAGGGCCAGAGTAGCTCATAAGCTCTTGGTAGACCCAGACAGCTACTGCTTTGTCAACAGACCTTGAAGTAAACAAAAAACTTACGCTTATGGGAGAAATCAGAGCCAAGATTCTCAAGAACTGTTACTTTGTGCCTTTCATCCCTTTTGCCGTGGCTTTCCATGGTCCTTTATCTGGAAATGAACTTGAGGAAAGGTTTTAAAATGTCATCTAGGCAATAAATGAACTGCCAGAGCATAAAGCATGAAGGGCAAATGCTCTCTCCAATATTCTGGGGAAAAAAAATGAAACTGTGTTTCTCAGGATTACGGTGCAGAAAATCAGGTGCTGCTTAAGATGGCATTTACATATTTTTTCCCTCGTAGAGTTATTTTGTGTGGCACATACCAAAACTACAAGGAGCTAACGTTGGGGACATAAGAGGGGAGCAGAAGCTGGGATTTTAGGCCTGTAAATCTATTCTGAGCTTGAGTCCAGGGCTGTGGTGGCTGTGCCGCCGCGTGGAGACGCGGTGTACTGCTGCTGTCTGCTTGGTAGGCTCGGCCCTCTTGCTGCCGCTCCAAGCAGCGGCCTCTCTCGGACATCTGTTCCAGTTCTTGCTCTTTAAAAAAGTGAATTTTGGCAATGCCTACCCTGCCTATCCTGATTTGGGTATCTTTTTCTGCAGACACTCCCGTAAGCGATGGGAGCGCTTTGTTCACAGTGAAAACCAACACCTGGTGAGTCCAGAAGCTCTGGATTTCTTAGACAAGCTGTTGCGATATGATCACCAGTCACGACTCACAGCGAGAGAAGCCATGGAACACCCCTACTTCTGTAAGTATCAGCTGCTGTCATCGTCTGCTGTCCAAAGAGTTCTTCCTCTGCCTCTGGGAAATCCATTCCTGTAGGTTGTGCAGCTAGGAGCTAAGAACAGCAACATAAGCCTGGTCTTTGCAAATAATTGCACTGGAGCTGAGGCTGCTTGTCCCTGTGGTGGATAAAGTAGGCCACCACCACCTACACCAGCTGAGAAAATAAAGTGTTATATGCCCATGGCAGGGCAGCGAATCAGGAGCACTGTGTTAAAGCAGCTTTGGTGCTAAACCCATGCCAATTTCAGCAGGTGTCTGGTTACATGGATTCCTGTGTTTTGATAAAACCAGATAACTCTGGTTTGTTGAGAAACAGGCCCTTTTAATTCCTTTTGTTGGTAAATCGAATCAGTGTTGTTCATCCAGGTTGGGTGGGGGTTTGAGCAACCTGGTCTAATGGAAGGTGTCCCTGTGGTGGAAGGTGTCCCTGCCCATGGTGGGGGGGTTGGAACGAGATGACCTTTAAGGTCCCTTCCAACCCAAACCATTCTATGATAAAAGTGTACTTTAGTGAATGGTGTATTTGGGTCTCGGTTTTGCAAGCAAAAATGTAACTTTCACTAGTAAATGTTTTTAAACGCTTGCTGTCTTTCCCAAATCTTGATATTTAGGTTTTTGAAACAGCTGTAACAATGCATAATATGAGTATTTGCGCAGTTCTTTTTTTCTTGCTGCTGAATGGACTTGTGTAATTAACAAACAGGATAGATCTGTGTTATGCCTGTGGCAAATGTTCAAGTGAAATGTTTGCAAGTATGAGCATTAGTAAAGCTGAAAGCTTGGAATGTGAGAGTTAGACAAAGGACTAAATTAACTTCTGTCCAAACAGAGATACAGGTTATACTGAACTCAGCATGAGGAACGGCAAAATTTGCAATTCCCTTGTCTGATGCAGTAGGCTTGGGAGGCAGGAGAGATTTTATTTTCAGCTGCAGACAAAGACAGACTTAGTAAGTTGGGAACATGTTAGAGAAGACAGCAGACTCCGGTGACACTCATTACAACTCACAGGCTGCTGGGGGATGTGTATAGAGACATGACAGATGATTGTAAGTAGTGATAAGCTTTCTGCTTGCTACACCCATTTTCTGGGTTTGGCTTTATGCAATTATGCAGTTGCTTAGCATAGAAGGGAGATCAACTTCACCTTAATTTCCCTCAGCTTTTCCTGTCAAGCAGTCCTGCTGACCTCCAAAGCACATCATTTAGGCAAGTTTTCACTAATCACATTACCTTGGTACTTTCTTGAGTGCTTCCCATTGGAGTTGGTGGAAACTTGTGTGTTCCGTGAGATGATGGTTGATATTATTTGATGTGGGCAGCTTGCCAGGACTGGCTGAGCACAGAGGTCGCGGGCAGTCAGTGTGCTTCAGCTGCCATCTGGCAACACGGCACCTAAGGGTGATGTGCTCTTCCTAGATCCCATTGTGAAAGACCAAGCTCGGATGGGCTCGTCCAACATGCCGGGTGGCAGCACTCCTGTCAGCAGTGCGAGTATGATGTCAGGTCAGTTCCGCTATCAACTCTTCTTGGTGCATGGCATTTTAAAGCATTTCTACGCGCTGTGTGGATGTGAGGATCCAGGAGGCTGAGTTCTGCAGGTGGGGCATTAGATCGTCTCCTGGGACCGATGACAAGGGCAAGGAGGGCTACGAAGAAGTGAGTGGGAGAGCTCAGTAGATAAGGCCTCTCTGCAGCCTGACCTGCTTTTCTGGTCTCTTTTGAAAAAGTGCTTTGCAGGTGGATTTTTTTGGCAGCAGTTTGAAGGACAGTGATCCTGCCATATGTCTGCCTGTCAGTGACACTTGCATGTTTACAAATCTGCGCTCTTGTCAGAGGCTGCAGAGAACAGCGACAGACCTTTAATCTCAGCTTTTTTTGGCAGCTCTGAAAATGTAAGAAAGCAACAGCAAACTGACCTGCAAAGGTACCACTTCATTTAAGAAGCTGAGCTGTCCTGGATAGCAGTGCACTGGTCTCGCTCTAATTCCTGCTTACCTGTCTCTCTTCCAGGGATTTCTTCAGTGCCAACACCTTCACCCCTTGGACCTCTAGCAGGCTCACCCGTCATTTCTGCCACCACCACTCTGGGGATGCCCGTTCCAGCTGCTGCAGGCGCTCAGCAGTAGTGATGGGCTCTGTCTCCTGCTGCCTGAGCTGAGTCAGGTGGGGAAGAGGTTTCCCCCTCCACCTCTCCTCAGGACGCAGCTCGTGCCTGGCAGGGGAAGGGAGGGGATGAACGCTTTGGAGGCACCGTGTCTGAACTGTTGCTTGTGGATTTATAGTAGTTCAGTCATTATATACAAAATTATTATAGGCTGATTTTTCTTTTTTTACTTGAACTTTTCGTAACTCAGGGGATTCCCTGAAAATACCTACAGATGGAATATTTCTTGGACAGTTTCC